TCTTCAAATTAAAATGAATGTTTAAGTAAAAAAGCTGCTATTAAATCAGTACTAAGAGGAGGAGAAGAGGCTGAGGACATTGAATCTTTGCTGTTTGCTGACTTGTTCTCTCTCTTCAGAATCAGAGCATGATAGGGCAGCAGATGAGACAGATAACACCCAACCAACCATACACTCCAATGCCCGCATCGCAGGTAAATGTTTCTGTTGTTTTTCTTTTCTCTGTCTAAGAAATGCATGCAAGTCATCTGACACTTAAAAAGCTGCTTCCATATTCACACAAGAGTCCATTCACCATTTTCTAAACATTTGCCATCTACATAGAAATGCTTGTAGTTATATATGCTCACTTATATGCGTTTTCATGGTGTTGTTTGGGTTCTGTGTGTTCAGAACATATCTCAGGGCTATACCACATACGGATCACACATGGGGATGCAGCAGCATCCGTCCCAAGGTGGTGGTATAGTTCCTTCATCCTATGGGAACCAAAACTTCCAGGGCACCCATCCTGGAGCCAACCCAGCTGTGGTGGATCCTCTTAGGCAAATGCAGCAGAGGCCCAGTGGTTATGTTCACCAGCAGGCTCCAGGCTATGCACACAATATGCAGAACACACAGAGGTCAGTAAAGTGTTGTAAGGAAGGTTTTTTTTTTTTTTTTCTAGACAGTTGACATTGTCATAATTTACCATCGTTTTTGTCCTTGATTTTACATTAACTACTTTGCTGCCTACCCTCGTATTTCTTCTTCCTGTCCTGTAAACCTCAGGTTTGCCCACCAGCCCCTCCAGCAGAATCCCATCATGCACGGCCTCAGTCACATGGGAGGCCAGGGTGTCCATCTAGGCTTGAGGCCCAATCAGATGCTGGCAGAGCAACAGCAGCAGCAACAGCAGCAGCAACAACAACAGCAGCAACAGCAGCAGTACCTCAGACAACAAGCACTCAGAGTATGTCACTTTATCATCATTACTTTAGATATGTTTTGGCCAAGTTTATTCATTTTAATGAGTAACTTGTGAAGTGAAAAGGAGGCTGTTTGTGTGCACTGCCTTTTTAATGATGTAACCCTGAAGCTATCCAGTGTTTCCTAATTGAATAAAAAAAAAAAAAGATGTTTATATTAAAATACACGTGGTTATGCTGAAAAGTAAATAAATATTTGGACACAGACAGGTCAGGTTGTGAAGATGAGAGGACAGATTGACTTTTGTTACATCACCTGATTTATGAGTCGTGGAAATTCAGGGCGTGTAGTTGTACTTTACTCCCAGAGAATGTAGTTGCCTTGTGAAGCCTTACAAACACTAAATTACATGACTAACTGATTTCACCAAATCACAAATAATAACAAAAGAAACTAGAATCTAAAGGTGAATCTACGGATGATCAAATTGGCAAACATTTGATGAAAAGCAGTCTTGATATTGATGATAATAACTGAGCAAAGCTAAAAGGCATGAGAGCGAGGCATTAGCTTATGACAACCTGTTCACAACTGCAACTAGGAGCAGGGGAAACTCAAGATAGACTGACAACATGAGATTTGTGTTGTTGCTCAGCCTCAGCTGCTCAGTGCAGAACTCTGTCTTGCTGTTGTTAATCCTTTAAAAAGCGTGATAAGAGATTGTAAACATGATTTAAAATGAATGCTACAACACTGCTATTTAGTTTTGCAGTGATTGGTGTAGCCAATGCGTAACCATAAATAACTAATAAAAGCATAATCATGGTTAAGCTTGAGTCCAGTAAGCTGAGGGCTCTGAAAGGCACTGGCCTCAGGCTGTATTACAACTCTTACAATTTGAATACGTCTTCTGTGTTGCCAGGGGCCAGACCAGTCAGTACATTTTTTTTTTTAAATCAAAAGTCACAAGTCTTTACCGCTAATATCAACTCTTGTCCTTTTTCTCGGTCATCCACAACAGCAGCAGCAGGCGGCCCAACAGGTTCAACAGCAGCAGCAGCAGCAGCAGCAGCAGCAGCAGCATCCAGCCGCAGCAGGTTCCTCCTCAACAGCAAGTTCCACAACAGCAGCAGCAGCAGGTGTCAGCGGTGCCTCCACCAGGCCAGGCACAGAACCAGGGCCTGGGGATGCAGCCACTGCCCCCCCAGCAACCTATGGTAGGTCCCATACTGATGACAGGGGCTGGATTGTTAGTCCAGTTGTTAGCAGGGTGTACAGTATATGTAAGGAGAGCTGGAGTCGGTGACTTTGCCAGTCATTTGTAAAAGCACTGTCAGAAAGATTCATATAGCAATATGTAGTCGAGTATAAGACGACCAATAACACTGACGGATGAACAAAACCTGTGTGGGTAAAAGAGATAGTTGCTTTATATTCAAGTGTCATGCTAGTAGTTGTATGTATTAGCCAATTTATGTCAAATGTGTATACATGTCTGTGTAGCCCTTTTTTCCAGCTTGAGTTTCTTTTGTTTGCGGGTTTAGTTTTTCTATTTATTTCAGTAAGTTATACAAACCAATTTGCAGAGACTTGAAAGTTGAAACCCCGTGAGAAAAACCGTGATGACATGTCAGAAAACTGATAATGACTGAAGTCGTTATTAAATCTAGTTGGTAAATTAAATTCCTTTTGGTAGACAACCCTTAAAATTGAGGAAATTGTTGCGTCCTTAAATGCACCACTAGAGGCTTCAATGTTTTCGATATGGTCCATGATTAAAGCTACATCACCACACAACATAATTTTGATTCTAAAATGAAAGGAAACTGTCAGCCCTGATGGAGCACTTACTCCAAACTAGTTTCAAAACTCTGCAAGTTGATTCTCATAGCATACTACAATAAATGTACACCTGTCAGGAATCAGTCTAAAACCTTGGTATGAATTTTGCCAAATGATTGGTTGTATATTATGTATATATAGTTAGTACTGAATGTGACTGTGAATCTGTTTTAGTTCCCGCGACAGGGAATGCAGCAGACTCAACAGCAGCAGCAGACCGCAGCTCTGGTCAGGCAGTTGCAGCAGCAACTTTCAAGTAAGTCAGAAACTTCTTCAGACATCATATTTTCTCCCCCATTTATGTGTGAACCTACAGTTGTCAAGATTCCATGTTTATAATGAAATGTTCCTACTCTTTACAGATACACAACCAGGACAAGGCACCAATTCATATTACTGATAGTGCTTGTTCATAGTAGTGTGCAGAGAGAGTGTGGGGAGGCCCAGCTCTGTAGAGTGGCAGATGAATGTGTCCAGTCCTGTGTAGGCTGTTAGGAGAGATGACTGTTCCAAGGCACAAAGGACAACCAACCAGATGAACCAAACCCCATCTCGACCACTGAGGCAATGATCAGAAAATATCCTGACTTCAGTCGTGTAATTATGGATTATGAGGGGGGGGGGTACTGCTCTGGAGTAAACACATAATGGTTAATAATGGAGAAGTCTATGTAAAAAAGTACCAGAAATTATAAGAATAATGCAATTTTTTTATTTTATTTCAATTTGTACAATTTTTTCAGTTTCGTGTATTTCTCATTAAAAAATCATGTCAGTTTTTATGTCTTGTACTTGTGTTGGCTGCCTGTATACTGTTCAAAACCTGTCAGTCTAACAATTATGGTGAGAGTAGTGGGGATGAAAAGATTTGTTCTATCAAATAAGGCTGTTGTTAACCAAAAACAATCCTAACACTAAGTTATTCTGTGTTTTGAGTAACTTTTACATCCTGTTGATTAGATTGTGTTGGCCAATGATTGATCCCACAATTATTTGAAATTAAGGTTTTTAAACAGGAACTTACTGTACATGAGCATTTAATTCTCCAGAAGAAGAATTTATTTCATCAGTAGATATGACTGATAGGATGATAATCCAACATGATGCACAGAGGTAAATGACAGCTTTTAACAACACAGGTTTTTTTTATATTTATTCCACAATTTTCTTTAACAAGACAAGTTGATGCTGGAGGCACTTTTCCTCGACTTATTACTGCAACGGTTGGGCAACTTTTACAGTTTCAGTGTGTGCCTCAATGTAGCATTACACTATTACAAGTGAAAACAGTGTCTAAAGCTTTGCTACAATAGACTGTTTTCTCAGCAGGAAAAAAAGCACAGGTGTCACTAATAACGTTAACGATGCCGAGGTTGCATTGACGTGTCCCGGTGAGCCAGCATGCACAACACCAGGACCCTGAACCTGAACTACATGGTAGTTTTATTATTTATTATCAGTAATTGGACAACTTGTCAAAATTTTGCATGGGAGTGTTACCACCAAGTAGAAATAACGTCTGTAACATAACTGCACTAACTAAGGAATAACTTCAACAGAAGAAAAGCAATACTTTCGGTGAGTGCATTGAAAGACGCTTTGACACGCACTTCATTCACACTGACACTACCTGTCTAGTTTTTAGAGTTAGGTCTAACTCAGATCCATTTTGTTGTAGACTAAGAGCCATGTACACTATATATATATATATATATGTATAAAAAAAGTCCCCTTCAACAATTTCAAACAAAATACAAAAGGGTATTAAAAGCAAAATCTAATAGGCCAGCACAGGTGTTTTCACTTTGTGCCTAATTATACTTCTGCTCAGGTGGGCGTGGGGTGAAGTTAAGCTGGGAGCAGGTCTTTTTCACAGCACAGCCTGACCTGCTGCAAAACAACACAGGTGCAATTAATATCAATAATAAAGGCTGTATTCCAGTCAGATTTATGTCAGCAGTGTCTGGGTATTGTGCATGCTCGCTCACGGCCTTGGCTTTCTAACACTTATATGGAACAGAGCCATTGTTATGTGTTTCCTGCTATGGCAAATCAAAATAAGGCTGTTACAGGTATAAGTTGTTCTGTCCTGACAGTTGACAGCAAAACTAACAAAAAGCGAGGAAGATGATAATCAAGCACAGTCGAAACGCCTCACAGCCTTTAGAAGATTAAACTGAAAACACTTGGAGTGGACCACAGGACTTTTATTTCTTACTGAAGCAGTCTACAGGGAACAAAACAATTCCTCATTTCAATTTTTTTTCCTTTTTGCTTTGTTACGTTTTTGTTCATCAACATTTTGACTTTCCAAGCGACTAAAAAGTACTCCAGTGTCAGATCCTAGTGCTCTCCCTTCAAAGGGACAGTCCATTCCCTGATACGTTGGCAGGAAGTTCAGAGCTGCCCAGCTCCTCTCACCTGGCTGCACCCCGAGCCTGGACAGGAGTTTGTTGGAAATCTCTGGCACTATTGGCTGGAGGAGTGTGCCATAAATCCTCAGGCATTCAAGGGAGACATGGATGATAGTGTCTAGCCAGCGCTGCTCTTTACTGTTCCTCTTGTCCAGCTTCCAAGGTGCGTGGCGATGAACAAACCCGTTGGTCTGCCTCACGCAAGCAGTGATGGCCTCCAGCGCTTTGTACACATGCATGCTCTCATAGTGCTGCTCTACCACAGCGGGGAGATTTTTCACAGCATCCAACATGAGGTAGTCTTCGACCACAGCCCTGCCTCCCTGTTCTCTTGGGAAGGACAGAGGACAGAAAGAGGGGTAGACCTGCGCTGGGTTAAGAGCCGTAGCTGTGCAGCGGTTAAGCAGACCACCCAGGGAGTCAGTTAGCTCTGCGTTGAGTAGCTTGAGTACTTTGTGATCTGTGTAATCACAGTCTGAGTCTGGGACACCCTGACGCAGAAGAAAGTACCTCATACCATCAGTTGTAAACAACTGTGAGCGTTGAAGAGGATCTACCACATTGCCCAAACTTTTAGACATCTTCTTTCCTCCCGCTATCCAGTGAGAGTGCACATGTATCGTCTGTGGCAGCGGCAGTCCAGCTGCCAGGAGGAAAGCTGGCCAGTAGACGGCATGAAATTTTAAGATATCCTTTCCTACAACATGGTGGGCCACATTCCACCATTGGTCGTGATTATCTGGATAGCCAGCTACTGTGAGGTAGTTCACCAGAGCATCTAGCCACACGTAGATGGTTTGCTCAGGGTCGTTGGGGACTGAGATGCCCCACTGAAGGCGGCTTCTCTGTCGGGACACTGAGAGGTCTGGAAGGTCGTGCTCTAGCCACTGGAGAACAATCTGGTAGAAATGCTCAGGCTGTACGGCCTGGGGATTTCCTCTGAGCCAGTCGAGCAGCTGAGACCGAAACACAGACAGACGGAACATGTAGTTCTCCTCTTTCATCCACTCCACCTGCAAAACAGTGAAGAGTGTATTTGTAGTTGTTTTGGTGATGGAGTAAACCTGCGCAAGCTGTGGAGGCGTTGCTTGATTTCTGCCTAAAGGAACAGTTCAATAGTTTGGGAAATATGCTTATTTGCTCTCTTTCTGAGTTAGATGAGAAAATCATTACCACTCTCATATCTGTCTGTTAAATAGGAAAATGGAGCCAGGAAACTGCTTGTAGCTTAGAATAAATACTGGAAACTGGGGGAAACAGCCAGCCTCACTGACAGTAAACAACTTGCTCGAGCTGCTTGTCAATCTTACAGTGATGACAAGAGTCCAGGAAGTGACAACACCTAAGTGAGAAATAACAGTTCATAACCCCCATAAAATCGCGTCATTTTTACACTTCAGTTTTTTTTAACGATTAAACAAATAAGATATCACGTCTTAATTAGTGAGCTTTATAGCTACTACATTTAGACAGTCAGGCTAACAGCATCCCCTTGTTTCGAGTCTTTATATTAAGCTAAACTAACCAAATATTGGCTTTAGCTTTAAATTGAATATGATAGTATGGCGCCATAAAGTTGGTGGACTTGGGGAAGTCGTCAAAATATGAGCATCAGAGGCCAAGACTGACTTTACACTCTCCCTGCCTGGTAAATGTGTTTTATTGAACACAGAAAGCTCCTCCATATCCACCATACGTCTATTTTCACGAGTTGAGTATTACTCCTTGTCACATGTAAACTAACCATAATGTGTACAATGGGTAAAATTATTTAATCTTCAGTGATATTACCTTGTGTCCACTCTCCAGCGATACCTTAATCTCCTTCCCTGTTGAGTCCACAGCGTCGTCCACCTGCAGTGGCGTGAGGAAACTTTCATCCTGTGTGGAGTACCAGCCTTCATAATGCCCTTTGTAGATGTGTCCCTTTTTCCAGAGCACTGACCAGAAATGCTCCACTGCCTGACGGTGTCTCTGCTCAGTGGTTCTTATGTAGTCTGTGTACGAAATGTTGCAGCTGCTGAAGAGATGTTTGAATCTCTCAGACACATCAGTGCAGAAGGTCAGGGGATCTTTTCCTGCAGCTTCAGCAGCTTGTTGGATTTTCAAGCCATGCTCATCTGTGCCTGAAATGCAAAGTAAGCCGATTATTATTTTCTCAATGAATTGTTTAAAATATAAATATAAAAAAGGAAAAATGGCTCTTAGCCTCCCATAAGCCAGCTCTATTAGGAATATCATTTTCTGCGCACAGATGTTCAATTTAAGCTTTAAAATAACAGATAACATGGGTTCTTACACTGTGACAAAATCTTTGGCTATTACATGCAAATGGTGACAAGAAAAGCAACGTGCACACGGATATTTTGGCCACTGGATGATTTACCTGTTGAAAACTTTGAGTTGAACCCTTGAAGCAGCTTGTACCTGTGTAGGCAGTCAGCTATCACAGCCGAATACAGGTGTCCTAAATGAGGAGAAGCATTGACATAGAAGATGGGGGTGGTTATGTAGTAACTCCTCTCATCTTTGCTCTGATGGCTCAACACAGCGATGCTCTGATGTCTCGACACAGCAGAATCTGGTAATAAGAAAGGGCTTTGTCGCAGTCTGTGAAAAGCCTTACAGCTTCTGGCCACAAAACGAAAAGGGAACCTCATCGTTGGAGAGCAGGCGACACCCACATGAAAGCCAGCAAACTATGTTTACTCCAGGAGTGCAGAAATGAGCTGGTGGGTGCTAGTCTTTCATTTTAGCTAGCTAAAGGATTTCGTTTTCGCAGAAAAACGAATAATCGGAACCGCTACCGGAAAAAGCTCTTAAAGTAGTCCTGGTGAATGTTATAGATTAAAATGATAGGAATCATTGAATTTCAGCCTTTTTTCTCGAACCCTGTCGCACATGTTTTGCTTGGATGTGAAGGTTAGCGCTTCTTCCGGTTTCTGTAAAGAACAATCACTCGTCCAATCAAAGCGCTGGAAAGTGTGCCACAGCCACCAATGAGATGGCAAGGACTACTGACGCTATGCTGACGTTATTGGTTTTATTTACTTCTAGGATGTTAAAACTGTCTGGACATGAAGTTTCAAATTAGTCAAGCAGAGAATATTTACGGGAGAAGCATCTGGATGTAAGGGTGAGCACCCTTTTTTGACAGACATACAGTTCTAGCATGATAATAAGGCAGGGACAGTATAAAAAAATTAAAAAAGCACTTTATAGATGGATTTTGATTTTCCACAAATAATCAATAAAGCATTAGCAAATGATTTATTAACTAATAAATCAATTTATTACCGCTTATAAATAAATGGTGCCTTATTAGAAAGTGGCATCTTCTTTGAACAGGCTGATACATCACTTTAATCCCTTTTCACTGAATATCTTTAGGGACCACGTTTTATTCCAGTCAATCTTATCTTGCTGTTCATTCCAGTGATATGAATGCTATTTGCTAGGAATATTTCAGATTGTTTTAATATTGATATGGAACATGGCACACAGAGTTTTGAGACAAACTTTCCGCCAGTCTGAATGAAAATCAGATTGTATGCACTTGTGGCGCAGAGGACCTGATCCAGGGTTTAAGAGGGAATAGGGATGATGGGAACAATCAGAGTCCAAATGCAGACAGAGGCTGGTTGATGAATGAGGAGTGGAGGGTGAAACGGGCAACAGCTTGGGAGGAGGAGGGTGTGGGATCTGGCTCTGGAGTCCTGGGACACAGAGGGAAAAATAGATGCAAGCAAAAAAGGTTTCACAAACATGAAAAACACTGTAGAAAATGTTCAAAAACAAGTTGACTGAGAGCTTGCTACCACTGTGGTTGCTGAGTCAGTCCTTTAAGTTAAGCTACAGCTCCTGATTAGTATCACAGGAACGCAGAGAGCTCCCAGAAAGGGACTTTTATCTGCATCCCGAAGGACTGCTCCCGTCAAGAAGCCCCGTTCAACGTCAAAGAAAAGAAGCAAAACACTAGCAAATCTTGGTGTGGCTTTCCACTGCTGGAGACAGCTCTTGATGAGTAAAGAGATGCTGTTTGAAGCGGAGCTCGCAACTTTTCTTTTAGACTGGTGAGTAACATCTAATGAGGATTCTTTACCAAAATGTATTGTTAGTGCAACTAAAGACAAACCTTACTGACAAACATTTCAAGTGGTATAAATGTATGATATTGATGTTACCTGCAGACTTTCCATTTTAGTGGTTTAGCAGCATTTAGCCTGTTCCTGCAGCTGTTGCCCAGCTAGTTACGTCACTAACTTTAGGCTTATTTTGTAACAGATGACTGTAAATTGAAAACATATGGAACCAGTAGACCGAGTGAATACACATCGATTGGTTCACCATGTTGTAACCACTTTACATTAGTTACGAGATCAGACAGGATTGAAAGTTCGCTAGGCCTTTACATTTTTGAGGAGATATCAGCATACCTCTTTCTTTATCAGGGCCTGAGCCTGACACTGCATCCACCTGTCCCACAAACACCAATGACAAGGTGTACAGACACAGTGAGGAGGGTCTAGGTGAGTAAAATTCTATCATTCAATATTGGCAAGTAAGACTTGTCTATACTACTGTGATTATATCAGACGATTATCATTGTGTTTTCATCAGAATGCCAGAGTCCAGCTGTAAAAACTCAAAAGTTCCCACAGTGTGTGTGACACTGAAGTTACAAAGATCAAAATTTGTACCTGTCAGTGTCACACACTGGGAATGTTGCATGCTGAGTTTTACAGTTTTCTGCTCTTTATCTACACAGACATCCACAAAAGCATTTCTTCTTTCCCTGTGTCTTTGTTTAACCTCACCACTGGTCATTTGTTCAGTTTTGATTCACCCTCCCTCTTTTTTTTAACAAATACAAATCTCTTTGCCACAAGCCCAATTTTTTTTTTTTTTTTTTCACATGCACAAACTTGAATGTCTCATGCAGATGTATTTTACAGGTTTACAAATGTTGATTTACAACTACAAACTTTGGAATTGTTGCTGTTACTGTAGAATCTCAAAATCATTTTGATGTTAATTTGAGCCTATATAAGTGTCCGGAGAGTAAGTGGGGGGAGTAAGTAGTTCAGGCATGGCCCAAGCAAGCTAGCCGCCTCCCCATTAGCATTAGCTGCTAGCTTGCTGGCATTGTACATTGATGAATGAATCAAACCATTTAATCATAAGACTGCAAAATAACAAAATGTAACAAAAGTGACTGAATACTTTCCAAATGCAATGTATATCTAACTGATTGAGCTGTCAAACTGACATCTCTTAGTATAACAGGTGCTTCCCACCAGGGAGTTTCTCTAGGATGAGGTGTAATTTATATTATGTACACTTACTTCCCCAACTTACTCCCCTGACACCTATATAGGCTCAAATTAGGGTCGGAATGATTTTGAGGTTGTAAAGTTATTCATGCATGAAAAATGTCAAATGTTATTAAATGCATATTTACATTGACCTCTTTTTGTATAGTGTATGTTTGCATGATGATTGTTCATTTATTCTTTCTGAAAATCTTTTCTAAAATATGAGTCTAACGTCTCAACATTAACATTTATCTTTATTTATGACATGTCTGATTGGATATTTACTATAACGTTGTAGTGCTAGTTGTTCCCTTTATGCTACTCACCAAAACAAAATGCAGTGAGTGAATAAATAAGATGTTTTAAAAATCAAACTATTTTTCATGGTGGAGTCTCATCTTGTTATAAAACCCTATGATGATTAAATGAACCTTGTAACCTGTCACTTATTTAGTATATATTATGCATTAGAACATAATCCCTACTACAACCACCTGTAAGAGATGAGGTGGCCAGTGACTGTACAGGACTAATCAAGTAAACTGCTGACTGAGTATAGCGCACCGAAAATGAAACCATCAAGTACTTTGCGTCAAGCCCGAATGCTCCGCAAGTTGTTGGGCGACCTATACATGGCTATTTCCCCAGTAAGATACTAATACAGTCAGAGAGACTGAGAGGAAATGAGACCAAGTTGAAGTTATATATATATTATATTTAGTTATGGAGTTTATAACTCCATATAAGATTCTGGGCTTTTGACGAAAACATCCGGGGCTGGAGCCCCATACCCCCCCCCCCCCCCCCCATGGGCTCGGGAGTATGGGGTGTTGTCGAAGTTTTGTGTTTCCCTCTATCTCAAACTAAACCTTGCTTTATCCCTAATCCCCAGCTAGTTATCTCCGCTTATTCCCGAGTGTTAATCGTAACATTTAGCAAACATGTACATGTTTAGGAGAAAGCCCCCTCCCTCCCGAGGTGAAGGTCCAGCCCGTGCCCACGAGCCAATCAGCTTCTGCACTTCCTGCTGTTCAGTCAATGACGACGGGGTTGACGTGACAACGGTGGTAAAACATTACAAATGGTACCGTTATGCGACAGTAAGATCGGTTACTAGTCTTAATTTCACCAAAACCAAGTAAGAGAAGTCGCTAGTCTTCAGTTCTTTACATATCTAACCTTACGAAAAGCTAGTTTGAACCTCTTGGCAGTGGATCGTCGGCCTGTCATGTGATGTTTAACATGGGGCGCCTGTTGCTCGACTCCTGAGAAGTTCCCAAAAGCTTCGTTTTCTCACAGAAGTTCGGTTATTTTAGCGTTACATAGAAACGACATTTTATGTTGTAACAGATGGAGGTGAACCGTTTGGACTTCTACATCGGTCTCTCACTGGCAGTGAGCTCCAGTGTGTTTATCGGTGCCAGTTTCATCCTGAAGAAGAAAGGCCTGCTGCGATTGGCCAGCAAGGGTTCAATGCGAGCAGGTACTGTAAGCTTTTATTAAAATAAAAGTAAACTTTTGCCACTTTAAAAATGTCAGTAGTTTAGGAAGGACATCAGAAACTTTAGTTAAGTAACAAGTTATTAACAATACCGTAATGTAAAATACTCCATTGCATTCAAAATATGTATGCAATATGGAAGAGTCATGATCAAACTGTAGTTACAGTATCAGAACTAAAAGGCAAGGCAGTTTTGTTTATATAGGACCGTTCAGACCCCATGCATTTTAAAGCCGCTGTCAGTGAGTTATTATTATTATTATTATTATTAATAAACTTAAACTGATGATTATTTTTTATTATTCATTAAACTGTGGATTATTTTCTCGATGAACCGATCAGTTATTAGTTTGTAATCAACAGTCTAAACCCCCGAAGATACTGAGACCTCTATTTTATTTTAAGTGCCTCGAGATAACCTCTGTTGTGAATTGGCGCTCTACAAATAATATTGATTTGGCTAAGGTCAATAACTCGTTACAGGACATCAGTTTGGAGAAGTTTTTATATAAAGTTGGTTGTTGGTGACAGAAACTAGTGACCCTGCAGCTTGAAGTCAGCTAGCAATTATTTGTAACTATTAACTGTAACGTTTACTGTGACATCTACTCCAGTTCTCTTCTCTGTATCTCACAGGTCAAGGGGGGTATGCTTACCTGAAGGAATGGCTGTGGTGGGCAGGACTAATTTCAAGTAAGGGAATGATTCACAGACATAATTCTGCTTTTAAAATGGGTGATGTGTTTTTTTTTTTACTTGGTTACACTGGCTACCAGCCCTTTCCAGTAACATTGTCGCCTTTGTTCCTCAAAGGGAAAAAGAGGCTCTTGTGGGTTTGGTATTTTTGCTGGTGACTTTGCAGTAGATCTAGCACCCACACCACATCTTTGAAGTACACAGTCCTCCAAAGAACTCATTTTCAAATGTGGGCTGCAACAGCTGTAACAGCTCTGAATTTTTGCACACTGATGGTGATGTTGATATGTTCTAGTGGGAACTGGAGAGGCGGCTAACTTCGCTGCATATGCATTTGCCCCTGCCACACTGGTGACACCTCTTGGAGCACTGAGTGTACTTGTGAGGTAATTGTTTTGTTTTATTGGTGTTTTATTTTTATACCACTGATGCTGCTGATCACAACATGCTGTTAGTGTGATACAGAAATGGGAGAATATCATTAGCACCAACAGCCCTCTCAATACTTAAAATTATATGTCTGGTAACATTCTCTATTCTTCTTATTGTCAGCAAATCCCATGAAAAGATCAAAGCTTATAAGGTCAGCAAAAAGAATGTTACACAATTAAAACATTTTTTTCTTTTTAATTCATCTTGTGATGAGTCAAAGCCATTTATGTGTGAAAACAATTTGCATCCACATAACATTTTCAGGTGGTTTATGTAGAGTGCTCCATCCAAAGTGAAACAGCATGAAAAGGCTAAATCTCTTTTTTTTTTTCAGTTGGAAAACAGCTTAACTGCAACAGACAGCCCTGCTGACCAAGTCAGTCATTCTTAAGCTGCTGTGCTGCAGCGATAAAATCCTTATTTTATGACTGCTGCTTAATGACAAAATCAACATAAATCCTGGTTATTGACAATAGCTCTGCTGTGTTATTCAGTTACACTTTCATTTAAATTGACAATCACAATTAATGTTAGAGGCGACTAAAGGTTGTGTTAACTTTACTGCCACACATCCCCTGACCATCACTGGGACCCCATTTTACAAAAGCTCTGTTTACCTCATGCATACTTAAACACCAAGTCAGTATTTTCAGATTTACAGTCTGGAGGCCATTTTGGAAAAGTAATATTTTGGGAGGAGAAACCGTTTTAGTTTGGATGGAGGGCTGAAACCAAGAGAAAAATATGTTAAAAGTTTAATTGGCTTAATTTGGTCATATTCAAAGTCATGTCTACTAACAAAGAGTGTTTTTTCCTTTTCAGACCTCTTCATCATGAGTCTTAAAGAGGAAAATATCCAATATTTAGAAAAGAGCAAAAATTACACAAGTTGGAAAAAAAATCTAATTTTGTGTTACAAAGATTCCCTTTTCCTTTCTTATATCATCTTGTGACCTCTCAGGTTTATCTTGGGACCCTCTGGCGGTCCACATCATCAGGTTGTGAACCATTGCATTGGAGCATCAAATCTATGACTGAAAATAATCCAACAAGTAAAGTGTTTTCTACATATTTGTTACTAATTTTAAAGATTTACCTCTTAAGAGCCAGGATAGGTTGGGGAAGAAAAGAACACATTATTTCTTTTGGTCTCTTCTTGGGATTTGTTGATGATGATGATAATAAAAAATATTCTATAAGTAGTAGTATCACCATTTGTGTTATTTTGTTTTCTTTCCAGTGCTGTGCTCTCCTCTTACTTTCTGAATGAGAGGCTGAATGTGCATGGGAAGATTGGTTGTTTGCTGTGCGTCTTAGGCTCCACAGTGATGGTGATCCATGCCCCGCAGGAAGAGGAGGTTTCTTCCCTCACATCCATGGCAGAGAAGCTCAGAGACCCAGGTAGAGACAGAAGATGATCAGTGTGAATTTACTCGTGTGATCTGATTAACCATGTTGTGAAAATGAAATCCCTGATAACGGTTGGATGGATTTCTTTCAGGGTACTAACTCATTCTTGAATACTCCCATTAGGTTTCATTGTGTTTGCTGTGTGCGTTGTGGGAAGCAGCCTGGTTCTTATCTTTGCTGTGGCTCCGCGGTTCGGACAGAGGAATGTGCTGGTCTACATCCTGATCTGCTCTGTGATTGGCTCCCTCTCTGTGTCTTGTGTCAAGGGCCTGGGCATTGGCATTAAGGAGCTGTTTGCTGGGACAGCAGTGCTGAAGGAACCCCTGTTCTGGTCTTTAATCATCTGCCTGGTAATCTGTGTCAGCATTCAAATCAGTTACCTGAACAAAGCCCTCGACATCTTTAACACCTCCATAGTCACGCCCATCTACTACGTCTTCTTCACCACGTCTGTCATGGCCTGTTCAGCTATCCTATTTAAGGAATGGTTGAGTATGACCACTGACGAAGTAGTGGGAACGATTAGCGGATTCCTCACCATCATTTTAGGGATCTTCCTCCTCCATGCCTATAAGGACATTACATTTAGCTGGGATTCCCTCCCACTGTACCTAAGGAAGGGTCCTCAGGGCTTTCCATGGGGTCACCAGCCTTATGTTGCTGTTCCCAGCCATGACAGCCAAGCAGAGGATGAGATGAAGCTGCCAAAAGAAGGAGGCTCAAAAGCGGGGTGGGGTACACACCAGAGAGCTCCTTAACAGTCTTGTCACTAAGAAAAGAAGTTGCTTATTGCAATTCTGAAGCTTTAATGCACATCATAGCTTTACAGTATGACAAGTTTACTAAATCTGAATTTCAAGTCTGTCTTACACAATGCAGTATGCACTGAATGAACAAAGTTGCCTTAAAATGAGCACAATTTTGCTGTCAACACACTGGAATCCATATAAAATGTATGTTCTTAGTCATACACGATGGTACATCCACACCTTTTTCCTTTGGTTGGTAGTATATCATGTATATACATGTGAATGTCTGTTGCACTGCTGTCTTTTTTTTATGTTAAGTTAAATTCATTGAAGATTTAATATTAGCCTGCATAAGCCAGACTGTGCCTTTTTACTGAAAATGATAACCTGTTCAGTGTTGTACAAATGTATGAATTGATTTATGACGGTGGCAAAAACTTTATTTGCCCTAAATGCATTCAATCATCTGTTGTTTCTGAACAACTTTGAATAATTCCTGTGATGAGTTACTGTTAATACCTCATACAAATTGCACCAAAGAATGTTTTTCCATGTATGAATTAATTCCCATCATTTGCCAAGCTGTAATGCATCTCTGATGTAACTATACCTTTATGTGTTTGATAATGCTGATTAAAACATAACTATAACAACAATACTTGACTTCACTTTTCCAAACAAAGTATTTGGCATTTTGTTTATTGCATATGTGCAGTCTACAACCTTTAGCTGTTGATCACGCCTCTTAAGTCAAGACATTGTTAGTTCTCTTAAATTACAGCAGTGTGTGAGGTGAAGTCCTTGTGGCTGTCAAAAACAGTTGGCAAGTTGAATGTCCCAGATGTGTCCGTCTTTCTGCATCCTCCCACACTTAGCCCACTAGTTACAGCAGTGGATATTAACAAATTCAAGCTCACAGCCTGACCAGCATAATGGCTTGAATTCAATCACTTGACAAAACCAATCTAAGGGCACTGCTAGCAACAGAGCACAAATAAGTGTTTTGCAATACTCATATCCCGCTAAGTGGAGGACAAATAAAACCCTAGACTTCTGCATGAGTTCATACATTGTGTTAATCTCAGGCACTTGTAACACAAGTAACACTTCATCTTGTTCCTTCTTCCAGTTGATCAGACAGTTCTGCAACATTCAGACAGCTGTGTCAGGACCAAGTGGCCTTGTCACAGAGCAAGGGCCGCGTGTCTTGTCAGTCCTTTTAGTGACAGTTTTTACTCTGACATGGTCTCAGAGAGTGAGCCCCGGCTCCTCTGAGTCTGTTCCAGTCTGTTTAGGATGAACTGGCTAGTGTCAATAAATCGCTCCACACAGTTAACGAAGCACATTTCTGTCCTTGAGTCCAGCTTTGGCCCGGGTTTATCCATACATTTCTCCTGGAGACAGAGATACAACAATTTAGGCAAGGTCCAACGGATCATACAGGGTATTACAAATAACATTAGTAGGGCTGCTATCATCTGTTGAATTATTTCAGCTCTAAATATTAGTACTCCACATTTAATACACGAGCTCGTCTGCAGAAAGAGTGAGAGGAAGTCCTGGTATATTACAGGAGCTGTGACTTCAGGATTCACAATGCAAACATTAAAGGGGAGAGATAAAGCACAATGTAAACTCATTATCCAGCAGTGGTATGCTTCTTCAAAAGTATTATTGTGATTTTACTGCACTACAATTATTTGACAGCTTTGGTTACTAGTTGCATACAAAACATATAGAGAGCTTGTAGAATATGATGCGTTGTTACTGATAAAACTACCGAACAGTACATACAAGTAGAGCTGAAAAAATTAGTCAATTAATCAATTAGTCGAATTACAGAAAATTCAAGACAATTCCCATGTAAAAATGCCAAATATTTCACTGTTCCAGCTTCCTGCTGCTTTTACTTTAAATTATTATGTTAATGTTTTATGTATTTAAATATTTTAATGATAATTTTAAGGCTTAGACAAAACAAGCATTGTGAAAGTGTCTCTTTTGGCTCTGGGTTACCGAGATGGCATTTCTCACCAATTTCTGAATGAGAATATTATTACGAGATGAATCCATAATGACAATAATCATTAGTTGATTATGTTGATTAATTGATTAATGATATGTAACAATCACAGTAGACATTTTACATTGTGTACTTTTACTTAAAAGTGCATTTTTCCTTAATATGCGTATCTTTACTAAACGTTTCAAAGAAGTGCTGTTACTTGTAGTGGAGTATTTTTTACAGTGTGCTAATAGTGCTTAGGATAAAGGAAAAGATGTGTAAAGGATCTGAATTACTGGTGTGCTTAACAGAAGGCTAAAGTGACCGAGTAACATGCGGACTGCTGGGGTCACAAATGGCCCAATGTATGCGTTTAGAAATCATTATTTAACAGCAGCAAATAAAACCCGTGTATGCAACTTTTACGTATTTATAAGACAAGCTGGCAATAAGTTACAGACACATGAGTAAGAAGCAAGTAGCTGAGCTCCACTGCTAGCTTAAAGCTTATCTTACCCAGCAAACCTCAGTCATTTGATGAACCAGCTGCTGAAATCTTTGTTTCTGAGACTCGATTTCGATGAAATGCTGAAGCTGAGGGTCGGCTGTCGCTCCCTGGCCGTCCATATTTTGCTAAAGAGAGGTCGTACGAGCAATATTTTTGTAATTATGAATGCCTTATGGCTGTTTTGCTGACCTTCACGTGTGAGAATGGAAGACAGGAAACAGGAAATAGTTCAGCCAATCACAGAGCGCGTTCTTCTTACGTCACTTGTCATCATAAGTAATGTTTCATTTTAAAAAACATTTTGAATTAATTTTCTGTAACTGGGTGGTTGAAGTTTTCTATCAACCTGTTATTTTTAAACATTTAAACTACCTTTGAAACCTTCTAGATATCACCAACATAAAATATTATATAATAATAAACATTTGTATAATTGTACAAACAAAGAACAATCACTCTTCAAGACTTAATTGTAATTTCCATTTCGCATATTACTTGGACTTGGAAGTTAATCTTAATTAATAAAGTCTTTTGAAAAAAAATTATTATTAAGAGGTGAAGGTGTCTGAGATCTTGGAGTTTATGGATATGCGTTAAACCTTTAAGTTAAAATTAAGTTAATAGCTCTGGAATCTTTCTAGTACTTTATACCACAAACTGTAGTTAGAAAAATGGGTGTCCTTCTGTTTATTTTATTATGAAACTATGATGTAACAAAATCACTGAAAGGTTGTCTAAATATCATCAAGTTCTTACTGCAGAAAAAAAACATGTTTTGTACACAATTATTCTCCCCCACCAAACCATTTTATCGAATAGTGAATACATAATTGCAGAAAACATACATATTTACAGCATTGGAACATTGTTTTCCTTATAGGCTTACAAAATGAAAATGCTCAAATTCTATGTTATGAAGAATTTCTTAGCTCTAAAAATGTTCCTGTTAGCCTCCATGTAAATAATATCAAATGGTTATAAATACTGTTGCTAGAGGCAGTTAATGAAATGCAGCTTTGAACAGCAACAGCTACAAAAATTAGGACTTTTGTTTTCTGTAAAATAAATTTACTTTAACAGCCACAAATGTGCTAAAAAATGTATTATAACGGAATTACATTTACAGTAGATATAAAAAATTGATATATATATATATAACCTCAACAAATGTGATTTTTGTAAAGAAGACACAATAAAACATTATGATAATTTTATGAAATCCCATTTACAATATTCTGGAGAAAAATGAAAGGAATATTTGCCAACCAACCAAACTTACAATTATTTTGGAAGCCAGAGATATTCTATATTATGAAAACAAGAACCAAAAAATACAACAGTCCGTTAACCTATTCATCTTATTAGGCAAATTTCATATTCATAAGTCCAAATTTTCTTGCCTGTCCATAGAACTATTGATTGGAATTGGAAATTATTATATGTAAGTCTGTTAAACTTTAGTAATAAGAAATGTGTGCACACTTTCATATGTTATTAAAGAAATTTGTTTATTTTTACTTAATTATATTTTCTCTGTCTAAATGTATCATCATTCATGATCTTTGTATGTTCAGACTTTTTACTTTAAAATGTAAATCTTATCTTTTTAAATGTGCTTTACTCTTTAAAAACTGATTAAATGGATGTCTGATTGTAGTTGTCATGTCACCCTTGTTATGTGTGACATTGTTCAAGTTCTTTAAAAACATTATTATAAATGATCAAATTAAACAAATAAAGCAAATGCCAACCAATGCAAAAGTATTATTATTACTACACTACAAAAGAGTTCATACTACATGAATAGGCCTATTAGATGTTTTCTCATTTTCATTTCACATGATGTTTCAGTCATTTCAAAGCCTATCATACTTGGCTTTTATTTGTGCAATACATCTGCTTTTACAAAGCTTGTTTCCTCATGCAAAGTCATCTACATCCCACAATGATTCCACAGAATACAATAAAGACATACAATAATTTTAATCCATTAACCTTCAATAAAATATACACATTTTAAATGCTGATCTATAGGACTGTACTTATGTGATAAAAGAGCTTTTCTAATCATTGAGCTATAATGACATTCACAGTACACATATTCACATTACAGAGGACCTCAATGTGGCTGTGTTGTCTCATGTTCAAGTTGTTAACTGTTTTAACATTGTGTTAACTTTCCAGGGACAGCCGGAGATGCTGCTCTGTGGGGATCAGAGTGAACTGTTTGTGTGTGTGGATCATTTTGTGATCTACTGGAGCTCGTACAGCAAATCCTGAACAGACAGTGACAGCTCTTGAAAGGTGGGTCTCTCATCTGCTTTCTGAAAACAAAACAAGGAGAAGCTGTGAGATGGTTGGTGTTCAGAACATATTTTCATACACTATCATCAGTCTGTACAAGATCATTGTCATTACACAGCCAACAGCTGGTGGTGGAAGAAGTATTTAAATTCCACAGTGTAGAAATACTCAATAACTCTATAATATAATTATGGATGGCCCAATTCTGAATAATACACATTATTGGTTTATGATTACTGATAAATTAATGCGTAAACAGCAGGTACTTCATATATGAGTAGCTTAATCTATATATCACAATTTATAAATTGATTATATTTTGTACTGATAATCTGAATCTATAAGGTAACTAGTAACTAAAGCTGTCAAATAAATGTAGTGAAATAAGAAGTACAATATTGATGTAGTGGAGTAGAAATGAAATGTAGCTGCCATAGTTTTCAGTGCAATATGTCTGTGAAGATTCTCAGTCATCCAGGTCATGGTTATCTGACAAAAGCTGAATCGAGGGCAACTGGACTAGATACTTGAAGACATTTCACTTCTCATCCAAATGCTGCCCTCGGTTTTCAGTTCGGATTCCACCACTGCCCACAATACGATACGAAACTCACTTACATCGATCCAACAGCTTGACATAATGCTGTAGACTTTTTCGTTGGCCAGCTGGGGGCGGTAGAGGCGCAGGCCTCGGGACACCTGATCCACTATTTCCGTGTTGTTTAGGCGTTCATATGGAAGCCGCCCCAAAGTGTACACCTCCCACATCAGAACCCCTAGGTATTTGTAGAAATAGTTAATGTGGTAAGAAAATAGTTTAACACAGATGTGTTTTCATTGTTTGTGAAGACATTTAAACATAGATCACACTTCTAACTGACCAGAACTGCAACAGGGAATTGACAGTTGAAACTGAAATATAGACTGTACACTATGTTTACTCACCATATGCCCAGATATCTGACTTGCTGCTGAATTTGCAGTAGAGGAGGACCTCAGGAGGTGACCAGCGAACAGGGAACTTGGAACCTGCTGAGCTTGTGTACTCATCGTCTAAGACATACCTAAGGCAGTGGTGGAAGATCTTTTAGTTAAAGTGTGAAAGTATATATACCGCAGTGTGAAAATACTCTATACATTCCAAAGTTTTGCATTTGAAAAGAGACAAAGTTCCAACGTTTTGTCAAGACATTGTACTTAAAGGATCAAAAGTAAATTATGCACTGTGAAGAAAGAATGGGTTCTGTAAGTGTTATGGTTGGTTGAGGTGGAGCTGATTATAATTACTTCACATACTGATTAAAACCTCATCTTGGTGTTAAAACTCTATATATATAACCCTAACCCAGTAACTAAAACTGTAAAGTGTAAACTAGCTTAAGACATGAATACTCAAGAAAGGTACCCAGAAAGTACCTACAAATTGTACCTGTTTAGCAAGGGGATTTTACTATTAGACTTTATTAGGCACCAGTGTACAGAGTATTTTACCTTGACAGTCCAAAGTCAGTCACTTTGACAGTTCCATTGCCATCTACTAAACAGTTCCTGGCGGCCTGGCAATAAAACAAACAACATTCTTGATTTAGGTGTAATCATTAAACTTTAGCCTTATCTCCAAACACATAATACCAATGTATCTCAGCATAGCATGACGCAGTGATGTAGGAATGTAGTGGGATATGTTTTGCACTGTTACGCAGTAGATGTTTGTCTCTCACCAGGTCTCTGTGGATGTACTGATTTGACTCAAGATAGGCCATGCCCTCAGAGACGTCTTTACACATCTCTAGGAACTGGACGGTTGTTGGGTGCTGCTTCAGGCCTTCCCTGAGGTAAGTCAGCAAGCAGCCATTTGAAAGGAACTCAGTCACTATGTAAATGGGTCTTTGTGTGGTGCAGACACCATACAGCTGGACCAGGTTCTCATGGCGAAGCTTCCTGGTTTGAGCAAAAGGAGAAGGAAGTTAAGTATTATGAGTTAGTTTTCCTCACAGTAGTTACAGAACCTACACTTCCCAGTGTGACACATCAGTTTTTTCAGTCGCTGGCTGTCGCACGTTGAGTGATCAATCAAGATTGTGAACTTATTCCAAAATAAGACTCTTAGTTTTGCTTACATCATGGTTTTGGCCTCTTCAATGAAATCATCTTCAGACATGGAGCCCTCTTTAATCATCTTAATGGCCACGTCATGCTGGCCCTGCCACTTCCCATACTTCACCACTCCGAACTGACCGGTGCCCAGCTCTTTGATGAAGGTGAGGTGACGGGGGTCAATCTCCCACACACCTGGAGCAAACAAGAGAGAGTGGATGAGCACTTTTATACCTCCTGCGTCCGCTTTAAAAGAATAGTTCTACATTTTTGATATATATGCCTTTATTTGCTTGACTGATACCACTGTTAGTAGCCACTAACATGTAATGTTCTGCAAGAAAGAGAGTAAGTGTATTTCCAAAAATGTCAAACAAGGGACTCATTACTTTTAACAAATGTGGTGGTGTCCTGAACCGCTGCTGACAAATGATCATTATGTAAATCATGCAGCATTTATACAATCTCAGGAAGACTGGTGGTTTATAAATTACACACACTGAGAAATTTTTAATCAGTCGCCAGAGGTTAATCACCAAAAATTATGATTAATAAGAGAGTATAGGGAGGAGCCAAGAAAGTAGGTGTATTTCAGCTATGCCAGTAGTACATGTCATATTGATAGTTATATAGTCATTCTCTTACCATAGCCAAGCCCTGCTGTTGATGGGGGCCGCGCCCGGTTAGAAACAATGTATTTCAGCCGGCTAACCATACCTAGTGAGGGAGATAATAAAACCTCATTATTACCTGTAAGATCAACATTTTTAATGGATGGACTTTGACTGTTTCCGTTTTTAATATTTTGTTTGTGTGCCTATATTTTGTTGCTTTCCCCCTGTTTCCTTTTTCCTGCTGTTACAACCAAATTTTAATTGTATCTTATAAATACTGGAGAAATAAAATCTGTTTTTTCTATTAGATATCCATATATTCAGAGCTATTGTATTAACCTGCTGAATTGTGCTGGTGGTACTTGATGAGCTCTGGGATGCTGCTGAAATGATGCTTCTCTGCAAGATAAAACTGTCCCTGTGGGGTGGTGCAGATGTTATAATGTCTGCAGCTTCCGCCTGTTTCTCTGTGGAGAGAAAAGGAAGAGTAAATTAAATTTTAGTCAACAGGTTTTTATCAACACAGGAATTTATTATTTATCATGTATGCATGAGTAGGTCATATGTCCTCAGTGTTATCCACAATGTAGTTCAGTCTTAGAGCTCTGCGATGATAAAGTTCCACAGGCTGATTAGTCCAAGTTTTGCATGAAAAATTTACATCTCTCTCCCTCTGTCGCCCACTGTTTCCGCTTTCATTACAAACAGTTCTTCTTTTGATACATTCACACATGAGTGGAGCCAGTGGATGCTGTATATAAAAGGTGCACCATGCAGCAATATTTTAACACCACTGAGCTTACTCACACGCCACCCTTACTGAACAAAGACACAGTGTATTTCCCGGCCTTGCTTGAGTCCCGTACCAAGAAGCCTCCATCTTTGTTCTGAGAACGGGAAACAACACATAAGAATATATAAAACATACATTTTAAATTGAATGTAGTCCAGCTAAGATGAACCAATTGTAGGTGTCCTCCTAGAACATAATGTATGTTGGTCATTGAGTTTACCTCAGTCTTTAACAGCTTTTCTGCCTGGCTACGGTTCATGTTCTTGCAATACCAGCTGTGAAAATAAATATGGATAACATTTTTCCTGTGTACTATTTTTGCAGTATTCTTTGCTTCAGCAATCAAGAATATATTGATACATAGACAAGGAACTTTGTTTGTTTGTTTATCAATCATCTAACATAAAAATGATAATTGTATATTTACAATGATGTAAGGAGAATTTCGGACAAAACATTAGTTCCCATACTCACTCAAATCTTTCTAGCCCAGTTTCTGCTTCAACAACATAATTACTAGGTATGTATCCTTCTTTGCTGCAAAAGAAACACATTGTAGATATTAATATTATCTACATGCATACACACAAATGAACAATAAATGTGCATCATGTCTGGTCACTGACACACTAATAGCTACTTAGCTAGTTTGCTAAGTAGCTACACTAGTAACATCTTGTGAATAAATGATTAAATCCAAGAACACTTACAAAATTAATTTGGGTAAATAAGATAAAAACAAATCCATAAAGATATGCTGTATATATTCATTATTATTATTAGATCTGTATGTCTATCCTTAACACTGTCTCCTGTTCTTTATGCACTTGTGTTGTTTTAATTTATGTGCTTCAAAGGCATCAATGAATATTCCCCTTTTGTAAGCAAGGAGCTTGCAATCATTTTATTTGAACAGCATTTTCCCACTGTTTTTTTGCAATGGACCCCAGAATGTAAATGTAATCAGTTCGACCTCCTGCATTCATTTCTTCCTCTCACCCATATTTGTCTCGGGCTCTCCACCAGTTTGTGTCAGCCATCTCGAGGATGGTGTACTCTTCATCCTTCCTCAGCTCCAGGTCTTGTTCTGTCATGGGTGTGTAGTTATACTCAGCTATGACAGTCATGCCGGCAGAAGGGGCAGGTGGCTCAGGAGGCTGTGGAGGTAAAGGCCGACCTGGCTTCTCCTGAAACAACATATAATTAGTGGATGTATTTACAGAACAAAATAGTCTGTTTTTATTTGGTGAATATCAATGTGAAAGGACTGGGTCTGCACCTCTGTTGGGGTGGGAGGAAGAGGTTTCCTGGATCCCCTTCGCCGAGATGGTTTAGATGTAAAGCCTATTAATGACATTATTTAACACAGGATCAGTGAAAAAGTTTAGTTGTTGATTGTAGCAGATTTCAAACCAAAAGCAAATTGTTCTCACCGTTCTTACTGTCCAGCACCTTGCAACCCATAGCTTGTTTAACTTCCTGCTGGCAGCACAGCCACACCCCATCGACCCAGAAACAAGGATGGTACTTCTGCATCAGGTCCTTGTTGAAGCGCACCACTATGCACAAGTATGGACACACACACACACACACACACACACACACACGCACGCACACACACACGCACACACGCACACACACACTAACAAGAGAACATTTAAGTCAACATTTGCATTTGCATAAGCATGCAACTCTTCTCATGTGCGGGCACTGGGAGATGGTTAGATATAACATTGCCTATATGAGAAACTGTGACAAGATTATAAACACAAGATACATTTGTAAATGTATATGCATATACTTACTTTCCTTTAGTTTCTTTATCCAATGAGCACGGATATCTTCAGTCTTTGCAAAAATGTACAACGGCCCTTCATCATAAACGATCTGTGGCAAAAATGAAAGAGAAAATAGAAATATAAGTAGCTGCACATCATATGTAGTTACAGTTTTGCACAAAGTGTGACAAAAGTCGCGTCCAAATGTGTTCACTGCAGTTCAGAAAAGAAACTGTTGCTTGCTCATTCTTTGATGGCTAAAGCCAGCCAGACACATTTTTACCTTGCTTGCGATTTAACACGTGTGCAAAGACAACACCTGCACAATCACTAAAAGCCCCTAGTTCATTTGAGTGTGAGAGTTGGTTTCACTTCTTAACAACAGACTTTCACGTTATTAACTATTGGAGGTAGGGACAGCTTCTGTCTGTCAAGGAGATAACTTGGTCACATGTTACAAGCCTCTCATGTGTGGCATCTTGCAGCTTGTACATAGTGGCAAGTGACAAAAGTCAAATAAGGAGTGTATTTCACTTGCTTTATTTATTATTACTCTAAATCAATATTGTGATACATGGCATTCTTGCTTATTTACATTGGTGCAGGTTTGTCTGTAGTTTTCATGACTGTCGTGAGGTGATTGTTAATTGACAAAAGTGTCTACCTGGAAAGCATACATGCGCTCGGTTGGGGAGTTGGGCTCTGTCTGGACCGTCTCTACACACTTGATCTTCTCAAGGTCAACTGATCCTCTCAAACCTTTTCGCTTCTGCTTAACAGATGAGGAAACAGTTGGGGAACTCATGGATAAACACACAAATGTAGCTGCACGGTTCTTTTAAGGTTGGCAGCAAAATTAATATGAGACAGATGTGATGCTATTTCAATACTTACGCCTTTGTCAGGATCAAAATCATAGTAGGCTATTTTTTCCTGGGTGAGAACAAACCATCTCTCCTTGTAGTTCAAAGGGGATGTCTTCTTCTTCTGCTGAGATCGTTTAATGAAGATTTCTTCCAGTATAGGGTCTGACATGATTCAGTCAGAATTAATCTACATGTGAACAAGGAGGAATGAAGACTTCTGTAAAGTATAATAGCAGCATAACATCAACTCTTTTCTGTGTGGCAGAACAACACTGACTCGTACATTTGCACCTCAACTCAGGCAATAATCTTCCTGTTGAGTCACTGACTCGCCTGTTACCGCTGTGCTTAGTTTGGCATTATAATACAGCCATGGGCTGTGTTGCACCTCACACTTAACTGTTCAGTGTTTTCACATCCTTTGGAAAGTTTTAAAGTAGTATGTTAGCAGAGTTTAAGTTACTACTTGCCTGCTCTAGATAGAGTCAGAGCAATATCAGGGCAACACGTGAGACTACAGATCTGGAAAGAGATGGAGAGTCATGGAGCATGAATGTGAGCAAGTATGAACGCGTGATTAGCTGTAATTTGCATAAACCCTGCTTTTCATGCCAGCAACACCCCCCCACCCCACTATGGCACATCTGTGTCTCGTCTGAGCTATTATATCCTGGTCATCATGACAGTGACCTAAATATACAGTATGCTTTTGTACTGGGAAGCCGTGCAAGTAAATATTGGATAAAAGTGTCCACCAAATATCTGGTCTGGAAATATTCCTCATATGATGGTTGATGGTTGACGTTCTCTTACATTGTAGGGGATATAGCGCAATTACATGCATCTAAAAGTGTTTTTTGTGGGGGCTGTTATATTTCATATGACATAAATGTAGACATCTTCGTCTGGCTTGATAGGCCAGCTATGCTTTCTCACAATGCAGACACACACAAACACACACATATAAATACTTTCTTTTTTTTTTAACCTGATTTGGAATACCATTTTTTAGGACCAGCAACCTAGTTGTTAATGCAATAACCCAGTTACATAGTTTCATGTAACATATTCAAATGTACGCTCTTAGATAAGAAACAACATCTAAATGATATTAGTTTACTGCCAAACTGATAAAATAAGATATCAAACAATCCCACCATCACAAGGCACCATCACTTTCTCTTGGCTCACCCACTCACAAACATAATCACATTTTACCTGCATTATATGCATTTAAGGTAGGCAAGCAAACGAAAAAGCCTCTCTGTTCTTAGTTTATAACAGTATTGGTTAGCATCTGCTAACCACCAGTGCTGCAATGAAACTAGCGCCTCCAAAACAGGACAGGGCCTCAATTTATACCACAGGTAGATGAGAGTGAGGTAAGACAGAGAAACACTAATGTCTGTTGATGAAAGACGATAATATAGACTCTGTAAAAGCACTCAAACATGCAACCCATTACCAAAACAACAAATATAACTGGCAATATGCAGGAAGAAAATAACCACAAATGTAGGAAATGTTCCTTGCGATGTTGAATCATTTGTCTGAACTGAACGTCAACAGACACACCAGTGACAGGCCAGTGTTCAAAGTTAGCATTTAGTATGAAACTGACACATAAAATCAGCTTTGGTTGCAGCAGACTGATGCAGAACTAAAACACAAATCACATTCCAGTACCACTTTTACCAAAAAGCATTATTCACCACTGTTTTTCATCAAGCAAAAACTCTTCTTTAACATCCAAGCCGTGGTCTGGACACATTCTATTCTAAAACACAACAAAAGTACACAGTACCCTAAAGGGAGGAAGTCATTGTGCCATATTGCCAGGTCAAACATGGACTGCCAGATGCTCAGACTCACCCCTGTCACACAGCTGAGTGCTCACTGCCTGTTAGTCTCTGTGAGATGTGTTTGCACTTCAGCTCAGCCTATTTTCAGCCTGTGAGCACTTCCTTCTATCATATGAACTGTAACACTACCAGAATCTTCTGTCACTTGCCTGCGAACCAAGAGTGTGACATTTCTTCACACTAATCTGACAATACCTGTTGGTTTTGTTTGTGCCGTCATGAACAGACAGACGTGTTCCCTATTCTGAGAAACATTGTTTACTCATTCCTCATTCGTTGCAACCCAGAGTTTTCTCACATCACTAACTTGAGTAAAGGTCAATCAACTCTGATAATGGATAATCTGCACACTGATGTGCCATCACCCCTCTTTGTCTCTGATCAATTGGAGCCAGTGGACTGAAACTGTACGTCCACATTTCAGTGTATCACTGACACCAGAAGGAGATTTTCTTTTTTCTTCTTTGGAAGGGAGTTGACTCATGGTGGCTGACACAGACAAACTGATAGGGAAGTTGCATCAGTGTTGTACCGCAATATGAAGGCAGAAGCCCTGCAGCACTTCAACCTAACATTGTTTCGCTCTCAAATATGATTGACACAATTACATACACACTTACATGCCACTTACAACTATATGCAAGGCTCCCTTTTTTTTTAGATTTTGCAGAATGATCCTCTATTTCTGCACAACATAACAACATTTTCATACTTTGTGGAGTTTTTTTTCTCAGGCTCTAACGCTTATCTTTTCAGTTGCTTGTGTGGTTTTGGGTTGTGAAAAACCATATGCAGCATCTGTAACTTTTCAGCAACTCAAAAGTCAAAATAACCCTTCTAATCTCATAGAATCATCTAATCACAAGAAAATAAATTGACTGTTTCTGACTTGGGTGGCTGTCAGAGTGATGGAAAACTGATCTTTGTAACCTGTAAATATTGCCCACTGTGTCACTATGTTGGTGCATGCAAGGCAGAAACATACAATAAAATGAAAATGCTCCAATTAAATAAGTTATAAAGACTAATGGATATTTTTTTGGATGGAATGCAGTTGTTTATTTCATTGCATGATGTCCACTCTGTATGACACCGCAAACACAACCATATCATGAAAGAGTTGGTTTAACAGGAACCTGTTAAGATGCTCTCTTTTCCTGACATTTCCTGACAGATAAGTAGTATATGCAAAAGAGTGTGTGAATGTGTGTTGGTGTGTGTATACGAGAGAGACAGTGAGAGGAAAAGATAGCGAGAATCATATTCATTGTAATTTGTTCGAATTAAATCTAACCACAGAGAATGCTCCCCCTCCACATATTAAGATACCACATCAGTTTAACATTGTGGTCTCCTTGTGGAGGTTAGTTGTCAGAAATAAGATTTCCTGTGATGTAAAAAGAGGTCATTTTAGAGAAACTTCTGAAATTGTAAAGTATAAAAGTGCTCATGAATTCAGAATATTCAAAAAATAATCATGCGTAGATTATAAAGGTAACCAACGTTAAACTACTCTCTGATTTTCACCCCATCATACACGTAAATGGTTCTAGTGATGTGTCAATACAAAGGTTTAAAAAAATATGCAACAAATTTTCATTGCTGCAAATTATAGCAGAATGCACCACAGTGAATTATTGTGAACAAAACATTCAGAAACAAGTATAACATTCTTGCATTTTAACCGACAATATCATTAACATTTGACTTATCTATTTGTGTATTTGTAGTTTTGTGGTGAGCACAAACTTCATTTTAGATTTGCATACAGTACTTGCACAAATCTGCACAATACTTTCTACTGCTTTTTCCCACATTCCTTCAAATGAAACACATGACTAAAAATACTTCTTAACCTTACAGACTACATTCAGAGAGCTATATTACTTACCCAGGCACCCAAAAAGGTCAAGCATCAAACAGACAGCTACAGATGCTGAGGCTTGTAGCGATGGCAGAAACCTTTCTTTAAGCTGCTTGTCTTCCATTAAATGTGTGGGTCTGTGATGCAAGAAGTTTAAACTCGCCCACAGAGAGGAATCGACTATGCTTACTTCCCCTTTTTCTTCCTGCTCATTTTCATATCGGCCCTCTGGACAGTTTTGGTGATAAGTGGAAGCGGGCTAAACATTAACACAGGATCATATTCAGGTGCTATAGGCTCTTACACTCTTACATTTTTATTTGAGGGGATATCTTATCCAGTCTACTGCTAATTTGGCTATTGCAAGGGCAGGACATAAACACTATTCAAACTGGTAACTTTTGCAGGCATGAGATCGCCTGCTCATTGTTTTACAAAAACGAAATGTATAACTTTTTGCAGTTGCACTTACTTTAAATTTGAGCTCTTTGATATCTTATTTGTAATTTTTGACCTCCCGATATTTCTGGCCGCTAGGGGGCAGACGCTATGACAACAGCGGGTCCACAGCTGGGGTCTACTTTAAGAAGTGCTTCCGGCTTCTACCTCCCTCTTTTCCTCTGCATCGGGACGCAGCCATGGTATGAAATTATTACACGACAACAATTTTACTCAATCAAACCCAATCTTGCCGATTGAGGAATCATTTTTGCATGTAGTCAACTCATATATGTAATAAATGTTTTGATGTACGTAACTATGCTAGTATTGGCCATCATGTGTTCATTTTACACAGTTAGATGGATATTAACGATCCCTGCCGTGTTGAGTGGTAAAGTCGTGCCTCCACACGAACCGGCCTTTATTATACAGAAAGTTAAGAGTTTAATGTCGAAGTAACCGTGATGACAAACAGCCTTTTAACTTTTTCCTCAATTTCAGTGTCACATGTTGAAACACTGTCCCATTTATTTCGTTATATAGCTTCAGTGTTAGCCTGCTAGCTAACGTCAGCTACTCTTCACACCGACCGGATCACTAACGGTGAAAACGAGAAGCGTGAGCGTTATAGCCATTAATGACGAGCTAGGATTATCTTGAGCATCAAACGATGCCAGATATATTTTGTTCTGTGGAAGAGCCCTCTTTTACTTTGCATCAATGCGTTAGCCATTGGTTAGTAAGGCCAATTGACAGTGGCTTGTTTTCCCACATCAGTTATATTCGTTAAACCGTGCATCCTTCAAAATTGTCGGGAAGATTTAACCCAATATATGATCAGTCTGCTCTGAGGCTTATTGCATGTCAGCTCAAGGTCCATTTTCTATGTTTAGGTGAACGTCCCGAAGACCCGCAGGACCTACTGCAAGAAGTGCAAGAAGCACCAACCCCACAAAGTTACCCAGTACAAGAAGGGAAAGGACTCCCTCTATGCACAGGGTAACCAGTCTGTTACCAGTGGTTCATGTTTCTGTGTGGTAAGCTTCCTGTATTTTGAAATGTAGCTGAACTGTAAATGTTTTGCAGGTAAGAGGAGATACGACAGAAAGCAGAGCGGGTATGGTGGTCAGACGAAGCCAATCTTCCGCAAAAAGGCAAGTTAAACCTTAGATATGTTTGACCAGGTGTGTCTGATGTTGCAGCAGAAATGGGGTCTTAACTAGTTCACTCTCTACACAGGCTAAGACGACAAAGAAAATTGTGTTGAGGCTTGAGTGTGTGGAGCCCAACTGCAGATCCAAGAGAATGCTGGCCATCAAGAGATGCAAGCACTTCGAGTTGGGTGGTGACAAGAAGAGAAAGGCAAGTGTTATAGGTCTCTTTTTGTATTTCTGTAATGTCTGTGTGTTAGGTCCCTCAGTGTTCCAGGTTTTACAGGGTATACTGAACATATACATGTGCTCTGAATTGTATAGTTTTGTGTTGAGTCTAAATCTATTATGAACCCCAGAAATCACCCCTAAGTCCTCTGCTGCCAACACTGTGCTCTACCTGTGGATTCATAATTGGTTCACCTAAATTAGGTAATTTAGTAATTCATTGTCTATCGGGTAACTATCCATAGAAAATGACCGTCAGTAACCCACTGATAATCTGTTAATATTTGACATGTTGACATCCTGGTATCATTATGCTCGATAATACAATGATCAGTTATATGAAATTTGAGTAAATCTGACTGACCAGCTACAGAATTATCCCCAAAACATGCATTTGACAGTGTGGTGTATCAGATTTTGGTTTCAAAGTGACAAAATATCAACAAATTGTATAACATGCAAAGGGCAGGCAGTATGACCAGAATTTTAACCAGCACAAACATTTGCATGTTAACCAGTGAGTGTACCCTTCTTTTGCATAAATACACAATTATAAGAAAAGGGATCAAAACACAGGGACATTGTTGAACAGGACAATTAACTAAGTGGGAGGGTGTCCTCAAGCCTAATGCTAAAGAGACGGTCTGAATAAAAGAAAAGGTCAGGAATAGTTATTCATGCCAGAGATGATAAATAATGTTACTTGTCCTCTTTTTTTTTTTTTTTAACAAGAGAACATTTCGTTTTAGACAGCAGAGGATTTGTCTGGATTTTTTTGGTTCATTGTGGGTGAATTTCCTTGATTTTAACTGGAATCGTGACCACAAAAATAGTGATTATAATTGGCGCAGAGGTGCTAAATTCATAAAATCATAGAGGTTGTACATGTAGGTATTGATTTGCATTTGTGTTGGGTTTGCATGTTAGTGTACGGGTAGTCACTGTGTCCCTTTCTCTGTACATTGGGAAGAAATCTATGGCCATTGTACTGATCCAGTTCCCCAAACTAATGTGCATGATATAAAATGGCATTTTTACATCGCATCAATGCCACATGAACATTTAAACATTACTACAAACTCTGTAAACCTGAACATACGTGAGACTGGCTGCCTCTTCCTGTCCTAACATGCAAACTGTGTGAAAGCTCAGTAAGAAGACTGATTCATTAAATTGTCATTGTCATGATGATAAGGTTGTGGTTGATTTCAATTGGCATTTAGGATGAATTATAAAGGATTAATGGTCAATGGTTTTCCTTAACCCAACATGTTTCTATCGGAGTAAGATAGTCCAGATGTCAAACTTGAGTGGCCTCTGCTTTTTGATGTAGTGTTAAACCGACAAATATTAATCAAGGATCACCTGTTCATACAACTTAAACTGTTTTTATTCAAATATAATTCAAATGTGATTCATCATCTAAATAATAATATACATTTATGGAAATTGTTAGCAGCATTCAAGGTGAACCACATGCCATTGACACCTCATTATGCTGTGTAACTACCCTTAACTCTCATTTTTACAAAGGCTTTTCCTCTGTTCTCTTACAGGGCCAGGTCATCCAGTTCTAAACTGTGGTCCCGTCTTCTGGATGAAGTTGTCACTATTTTCAATAAATTTATCAAAACACACTTGGAAGTTAAGTTCTTTGTTTACTTGTATTTTCACCCCACCTTTTAACCCTATGAACCTTGAGATGTTTCTGGGCGTTTTCACCATGTCATATTTTTACTCACCACAGACTCATTTTGCAATATTAGGTCCTGCACCTCACAGGAAACAACCATGGGCAGAAGTGGAGAGCTCAAAATGTCTTATGTGCAACATAACATTTATCATGCCATAAATCACTAAAAATAAAAATCGATTGGGTGTTAATTGATTTTATTTTGTAAAGATTGGAAAAAAAAAATAGGCAATATATACTACATATTTTCAAGTGAACACAAGTGTTAAGAATGAGGGTGGAAAAAAGCTCAATAGCCACAAAGTTAAGCTGCGAGGATCTCCCTGAATTTCAAGTGAGTCGTGGGTTGTTTTTTATTTGACAGTTCCTTGTGAAGGATGTAGGTGTCAATAAAGTGTCAATACATTTTTGTACCACCTCATTGTTTTATGGTGCACTGAATAGTATTGAATTAGGTGATCTGACAAATATATACACCACCCCGCGTATTTATTATATTCTGTTACCGGGGTTGGTATCTCTCACTCGTCTTACAATGGTGTGAATTGTTGAACAGAAGACACCTCTCTAGTGTTCATCCACTCTGTAGAGCAGTGGTCCATCTCTGATCCACCTTATTGTTCCTCTGCTGAACTTTTCAGTTATTTTGTTTATGCATGAACCTTTTAAATGTACAAAATTCAAGCTTCGTCTTAATAACTTAACATCTATTAGCAGCCATGTCTGGACAATTCATATCAATTGTCCAAAACATTGTCCAGTGAACATGATAAAAAAAAAAGTAGCCAGTGTACAATAGTCATCACAGCATCCAAACTGATTCAAGCAAACTCTAAAGACTAAAACACTTTGCCTTTTTAAATGTATGTGCTCTATTTTTACAAAGGCAACTCATCTTAATTTTTTTTTTTTTTTTTTTTTTTTTTTAAAGATCCAAAAACTTTCCACTTGATGAATATAGACAGGCAGATAAAGTGCATAACAATGCATCAGGACTACAAAATACCGGCGTGCTTGTGTTTGACGGACGTGTCTTGCCAGTACAGCTCGTGCATCCTCTTAGAGTCGCTGCTGATCGGAGTGACAGTGAGTAGAGCCGTGCCTGAAGGGTTGACAGATATAACCATTTTGCTGTGTGGAGTTTGAACGCCCATCTCCTTGTACTTAGGCAAGATCTGTGTGACGTTACACTGGGGGTTACAGATCCTCCAGCCAGGAACCGCTCTGACGACAAACCCTCGGGGGCCACCGATTTCCTGTTTGTTCAGAACTGCGATAGCCAGCCGGTTCTTAGACAGAGGCCGCTCCCAAACTTCAAAACTGTCCACCTGTAGAACAAGTCATATCAATTGATGTTGCTATTCCATACCTGGAATTGCCATTACCACTTTGATTTTATTACAGTCATTACTGTGAGGACTTTTTTGTGGCTACTAGACCCTGATCACAAAGCATTTAGCATTCCTATATAGATATTAAATGTATGAAAATACTGACAGCTGTCATTCCAGGTGGTGAACATGCTTTGTGTCACCTCTCACACCCACCTTGGCCGTGTGGTATCCCTGTCTGCCCAGTGGGTCCTGGCTGATGTCTATGATGCGTCTGTTCTGCAACAGCTCCTTGGAGCGAGGACAAATGTCTCTCAGATCATTAGACATGAGCAGAGGGGCTGCCATGATGGCCCATAGTGCCATCTGAGACTCCTGCTGGTCATGACTCAGGCCAAAGTTCCCAATGACCAGCTAGAGAAATGGACCAGTATCATAAGTACCTCTGCAGTGACATTATACAGTAAATCAACAACACACAATTGAGAAATGTGATCCTTTTTTTTTTTTCTTCAAATAAACACTTGTAGTTTTTGTACTTAAATAACATATATTCAGTTGAACCCCTTTATAAATTAAGCTCTATATAAATGAAAAAGGTTGTAAAAACAAGAGCCTCAACTAAGGCATTAAAAATTTTAAAGGGATAGTTTGACATTTTGGGAAATAAAATGCTTAGATTAAAAGATCCACACCACTCCAATGTCTGCAAGGTCAATATGAAGCTACAACCAGAAGCCCGTTAGCTTAGCACAGAGACAAGAAATGGGACGACTCTCCTTGCTCTCTCCAAAGTGAAAAAAATCCACCTACTGGCTTCATACTAATGATCGTCTAGTGACAATGATACTAAGTCTTCTCATCTATCTCTTGGGGTGTAAAATATTACACTCTTTAGTAAGGCCACCTGCCAGTGGAACTCCAGTTAAGAAACAGGTCCGCTCTCCGTCTTCAAAATGTAGCAAATGGCGAGTCAGTGACGTTGTTAAAATGATAATACAACAGCTTGGTACTTGAAGGCCACTGGTTCTATGCGTAGTTTGAGGTCAAAGAGGGGAGTGCGTAAGAGCTTGAGTAGAGCACAGTACCATATCAGGGTCATTCCAGCCCCCGGGTGCAGCCGAGGGGACGATGATGTCCTGATGAGCAGCAGTCCAGTCCAAGATGGACTTGACAGAACTCCATGAGTCGTACACGTCATTGAAGTTGCGCCAGTGGTTACACGTCTCGCGAATGGCTGTGTAGTTAGGCTGGAGGCAGAGAAATGCTCTTTTATGTAGTGTAACATATGGCATATGGTCTCTCTCTCATGGTCTCAAGTATTCTTCATTTTATTCTTACTGTTATGTGGGTTGAATCTTGGAAAATAAACCAGAGATTAATAACATGATAAAAATTCACGTAAAGACAAAGAAGTTCTCTCTCACCTTTCTGATAGGCCACTCATATAAAGGCCACTCACAGGAGTACAGGATAGGTCTTCCGGTTTTGTTTAGTGCTTTTGACATGTTAATGTATCCTTGACCAGAATAAATAATAGGCAGTTAGATTAAAACCCATATAATACCTTGTCTAATTGAGGTTCTGAAGAAGAACCAATAAAAAATGACCCATGACATTAATAAAAGTGTAATTTAAGTTGTCACGTGAAAATATCACGTTTCCAAGTTTATTTACATACACAGTGCTGTGCAAAAGTTTCAATGTCTGAATTAAAAGCTCACCTTCTCCCAGCATGGTCCAGTCCATATAGCAGCCGTCGAATTTTAGCAGGTCCACATGCCAGTCAGCAAAGGTCTGAGCATCTGTCTCATAGTAACCCAGACTGCCAGGGTATCCAGCACAGGTATTTTTCCCAACATCTGCATAGATACCCAGCTTCAGACCTTTAGAATGGACCTTAAAACAGAAAGTTTAATTAGAATTAATTCATAGTTTACAAGTACGAACAGCAGCTATGTTCTTAACAGGTTACAGACACGTACCAGCAGGTGGCGATGTTACACAGCTAAAATCATGATCCTTACACTACAGGACACAGCTCTGCCTTAGTGGGCTTAAATATATCACTTTACTGGTGAATATAACTTTTTAGCTGCCTGTGTAGGAATCAGCCAGTCATTGTAGTCTACAAGGCAGAAAACATCCTCTCCATTGTGACTGTGTCTGCAGCAGAGAGGGTGAACAACAACACACTCCTACCTGAGACAATTTAATGTCTAGGTATCTCCCTCGGCTCCAGGTGCTGAATTTCTATCGGAATGAAATCTGAGACTTGGGTTCTACATCTGGTCCTCTCCCCTTCATTATGTAAATAATTGCAGGTTGGCTTGGATGGATGTATAATGAATACGTAATCTGACTGTGTAATCACTTTTACTTACCAAAGTTTTTATTTGTCAAAGATTTCCAAACTTAAGACGCATTGCACCACTGATTCTCTAATTCTGTAGCCCTTGGAATTACATCAGTGGGAATATGTGTTAAATATGACATGATTTACCATTGTATAACTTTGCACACTATTCATAATGCAGCCCAAAGACTGGAAACTATAATAAAACAGTCAAATCCTAGCACATACTCTCATTTAGTCCTTCCAGCTAGTGGAATGACTCCAATTAGTATTTCTCCCTTTCCTTAAGTCTCTCTGAACCCCTCTCTCTTCGATGACTTATGGCATTAATACCATATTCACATTCAGAGTCTTTATGCCTCTTTTATACCTACTACTCACATAGTCGGCCAGTTTCTTGATGCCCCCCGGGAATCTTTTGGGGTCTGCCAGCAGGCGGCCCTGGGCATCACGCTGATGGGAGGGCCAGCAGTCATCGATGCAGACGTACTCGTAACCGGCCTCTTTCCAGCCCTCCTTCACCATCACATCTGCCATCTGCATGTACAGACGCTCACTGCCAGGGCAACAGGAGGAGACAGGCGGGGTTGACAGTATCAGTTAGACACCAGTGTTCAGTGTCATGTGCAACAGCAATATGGCAGACACAAATACGTACATGCTGAAGGAATTCTTGTGACAGGAAAATGCCAGTTTTGCTGTTGTTCACTGTTGAGTGTTATGAGACAATAACAATTCAACCGATGAGCCTATATTCGGTGCTCTAAACGCTTTACTGGCCAGGCCTTTCTGGGGGAAACATGCCATCCACAATGAAGTGAGCTATTTTATGTTTGTCACTAATCAGCATAGATGTCCCTAAAATAAAACAGGGAACACAATCATCCAATACTTTTGAAGTGCTCTGCATCCATCAAAGAAAGAAATGGAGAATTTACTTGTAATTAGGATTAGAGCTGCAATCACCGTTCGATTAACTGATTAGTCCATCCTAAGATAATTAACCTGCAACTATTATGATAATTGAATGATTAAGTAATTTTTCAAGCAAAGAAGGTAAATGGCAATCATGAGGAAAACTGGGCTGGTAGTGTAACCTGTTTTACCTGAAAGCCTGTGAGATATAATAATGGTGTTTACATAAGGTAACACCAATATCTCCCAATGCCTCAAACCAAAGAACAAATAAAGGCAAATTAAATCCGGTCCTGATTGCAATTACTCTCAGTAATTGTTAAATCACGTGTCTCTGTTTTCATAATTACTCTCATATCCGATTCATAATTTCAAAATAGATGTCATAAATATGAAACAATAATTAGATGGAACAAGGTCATAAAATGCAAGTCATGATTACAAGAAAGTTTAGGGTTTTTTTTTCTTTCTTTTGTGAAACCACTGTGTTTCTGTAGCTCGGTTACCTCTAACATTTTCTGTTTTTGTCTCTAATCACAATTAGTTTGATAATGGTTTTTGTGATCCCGACAACCTCCCTTGTGGAAACGTCACTTCCTGTGCACGGCAGGGATTTCTGTGGGTAAAGTATGTGATTCATTTGGAGCAGAAAAGTGTAAAAGCTGTCATTCACTGGGTCTGGGTGAAATCACCTTTGCGGGAGTGTAGATGAGTTGAGATGTTTACGTGAAATTCACCGGGAGAGGTGAAATGTTGGCGAAGTGTTTCTGTGAGTAGTAGGAGAGTTTTCCTTGTGTTTGAGCTCACAAACCTGTCAGACTGCGCTGGATCACCGCCACCTGGCAGCTCTGATGCCTCTTACCTGATGCAGTTATCGGGGTCTTTGTCACAGTCGATATTACACATGAACCTCTCCCAGTGCAGCCAGCCCATAGTGGGCTTCAGAGCCAGACCATTGTCTAAAGCTTCCGCGGCGGGACCGATTAAAACGACGAGCCCGAGGAGAGACACAACGCTGCACATTTCTACTGTCTAACTCGACACTTTACACCTGAACTCTGATAACAAGCGACTGTTTTTGCTTCGAGATCTATTTCCTCGTGTAGAACGTGTTCAGACCGCCCCCCTGGACGACCGACACAAATCTGGACCAATAAAGTGAAAATGCGTCTGTAACTGTCCAATCACATCTCGCCCGGATTTCTTTAGTACAAACTAGGAAGCGCCAAGATAGAGTCAGTTGAAAGATTTGAGGAGAGGTCAGCTGACATGACATGACAAGGTAATAACCATGTCTTGTGATCCCCCTGAATACAGATGCGTCAAAAACAGCCGCAGAAATCATTATGATATTCATACATTATTGTGGTTTACTCATTCTTAGTAAAAGTGGGAAAACCATTACAAACAACACTTTACAAAATCCTGTAGTGACGGAATAAACATGCACATAAGAACATAAGATATTTATTTTATCTTGTATATTGTATGTTTATATTTAGTATTTTGTAAACAAGTCTTAAAACCAGTTGTGGAATGTAACTAAGTACATTTACTCATGTAGTGAACTTTTGAGGTTCTTCACTTACATACTTCAATTTTATGCAACTTTATACTTCTGCTCCACTATATTTATGTGACAGATATTTTTATAGTTGCTGTGAGATCGGATACTAGGATCAGATTTTACAGACAAAATATCACCAGCTTCTAAATTATGATGCATTGTTATAGATTCAGTTTGCCAGTTGTGTATGAAGTAGTTATAATTAACGCCATCCTGACCAGCTACAATATTTAAATCCTGCTTTCCTCTTGCATTTGTAATAGTGAACCAGTAACAATGATGTTATGAGTACTTTTACTTGTGATACTTTAAGTAAATGTTGCTGTTCATGCTTTTGTATTTCTACTTAAGTGTACTTGTAATGATGAATAGCTTCAGAACTTTTTACAGTATTTTTATATTAATGCTTTTACTTAACAAAATACACAAATGAAGGCTAAATTAAGGTAAATTCCAGTATTTTACAACCTGGGTCGTATTCTTATAACTGTAAATTCAGCTCCAGCATTACAGCGGATATTCGGGCAAACAGCAGGACCTTCCTAAAGCTTTTAAAATAAACTTAAATTTGACATAAATCAAATGCATCTGAATCTTTTTGGATGACTACAGTACTGAAGCTAATCTGAAAAGACTAGCTGCCAATCTCCTGCAGTAATGACAAACGTTTGTTATTTATCATTTCATATATAGCATGATTCCACTTTAACAGAGATAAATACAAAACATAAAAATGTCCTTCATTTTTTCTTTAAAAAAATGTCAGTAATGGCAAATTTGCCACACATAAAACCTGTGGCTTTTTGCAGCTCCTGGAGGTGTGGGGCCTCTTCTGCCTGGTTGGTAATCCAGCCTTTTTAAGAGTAGTCTTCCTACATACACTGTAGTGTTTTTTCATTAGGGCAGTGCAGGCAGTTACCCATCACCTTTGTCCAAAACAAAGCCTGGTTTTCATGTGCGAGATTCTGAAGTTTAAGTATAAACCCTGGCAGACACCAGGGATCGACACCACAGATATCTATTTGCATCTGCTTCCCTAAGAATGAAAGAAAATGGCACAATTTATCCCACTGTTCCCTGAGGAGGCTGGCTAATCAAAAATGCGACACACACGATCAGCAATAATGTAGGACTATTTACATATCGACGGCGCTTCAAGCTGTTTATTAGCTTCAGATCCAAGACACTAATTTGTCTGGTGCAGACATTAAATGAATTATAGATAGGTTTCTTAATTTAGCTGTAAATGGACACCCTGCTACACAAGCAAATTAATCCTGGACGATTTTCCTTTTGAAACTGTCAGAGATCTTCACACATGCAGAGAGAGTGATGAGTTCTGTATTTATTGTAATACTTTGCTCTTTTGTTGAAATTTAAGGAGACAGATGAAAACTGTTTATTTGCTAATCAGATCAGCTTTTTGAGAGTTTGTACAGACCCACAAAAGAGTTGGGACTTCCTGTGATCTTGCTCCTGACAGTCTGTCTTTGCTGTGCATGATGCCCTGTGTAATACTATTGAGAGAAATCAAAAGAAATAAAGCAGCATTCACCAGCTGGCACAAACCCAGATTATGATAATAATCCTCATTCTCACCGCTGGGTGTAAAAAGGAAACGTTAATGAACACAAAACCTGACCTTTCGGCGAAATGTCAAGGGTGTCTATTTCAACCCTAAACATTATCATAGGCTTCACCCAGGGACAGGCCTGATACAAACAATTTGTCACTTGCTATAGTTCATATCAGTGCCAGTGAGCAATGGCGTTGAGGCTCTAAATGTCAGATTTCAATTTGACTCACCCCCCTGCTGATGGATGGACCAATCCAGCTCACTTGAATACACAGTTTTCTCTTTGTAAAAATGGGATCCAGCCCACCGTCGTGATAGAGACTCTTGTGTTATTTTCTTTTTTTTTCACAGCGCTGCATAAAAGAGCAGCGTGCCTCTATCTGTACAGTGGTTAATTGAGATTTTTGACAGATGGGCAGCCTGTGCGTTCTGTATGGTTTATATGGCTCCCTAGAGCTTTGACACCAATCCATCACACTCCTTTCTTCTCCAGTGTCACATAATTGAAGAGACTGTCATGGCTGACTTATGTTGGCAACTTTCTTATGAAGTGTGTGGGGATAAAATGAAAGGGAAAGCTGTGTTATTGTGTGCCCTCTTGCCAAGGAATTACATTATTGTATTGATCTATAGGGACAGGTGGCAAATGCCATCAAAAAGTTGTGCCTCCATAAATACGACAGCTAACGTTATGTGGCTCATATACGCTCAGTGGAAAATCATTTATTGTTGAGTAATTAGCTGCTTAAGTTGTTTATGTGACTGTCACAGGGGGAAGGAGCCGACATGTGCTGATGTTGCTACTTTAATTAGGTCCTTGTTGAACTGAGTGTGTCTGAAATGGCTTTTGGTAATAACCTTTAGAAGCAAGCATATGACCTGTAAATTACTCTACTGACAATATGTTTCATGTCAGTTTTTTTTTCTCCCCCCATTCAACATTTCTCTGAAATTCAAATGACTTGTGCAAGCGTTTCGCTAATGAGTTCAAGATTAATTGAAGCTCCAAATTTCCTGCTTCTGCGGTTGAGTTTATTTGTTAGTTTCAGGGCTTCTTCATTCTCAGTGGGTTTAATCCTGCCTGAGGGTATAGGGCAAGCGGGCTAAGCATGTATAACGTTTCACTTCACTATCTCTAATTACATTTTAGACATCTGCAAATGCATTTTGATCAGCTGTAATTACAATGTGACTAGATACTGTGTGTGCAATTACAACCTGACCGGCAGGACTTCAAGGATTCAAGTTATCTCCAAATAGATTTCAGAAATACTTTTAAAATAGCTGTAATGATGTCCCAGATATTGCTACACATTTGATCGTTTATTAGATTGATTTACTTGACAGATATCAGCAATGCATGTGAGCATGAGGATCTAATCAATTTCTCTAGTATATTTAGGTGTAATATTGCCTTTATTCAACAGTGGACAGTTATGAGGCGGCAGCAAAGAGAGAAAGGATGAATGACAGGCAATGGATGGATCCAAACTGGGGACTTTGCAGTCATAGTGGCATGCATCTTAAACACTGCCACCAGGTGTCCCCATGTAGTTAGAATTTACAATATTTTTCTAATTACATTGTGACAAGAAAGAATGATCCATTAAGTTGTGTGGTGATTCAAAACTGTATTGTAGATATCTTTAATTAGATTCCCCATACAATGCAATGGTTCATTCTTACAGTTCTGAATGTAATTAGAAAGTCATAAATGCCGTGTGCATATCTTAAATGTGAGTCCAGTCAGTCTTACATACAGTATGTTGAATCCACTTGCCCTGTAGGAAAGAAGTTTTGTGAAATATTAGTGAAGTGTTATTGGTTATTAAATTTTATTTTCCAAGATTCCCGCAGCTGGAAAAGCATGTTGTGCAAAGATAGATTTGTCAGTTCTTTGCGAAGCTGATTACATCTCTCGCAGAAGGGGTCCACAGTTTGTTGGATCAACAACAGTTTTCATGTTGCAGTGCCTGCATAGTTCGTAACCCAACAGATTAAAGCATTTTGTGCAAAGTAGACAGCTGATATGTTGTCTTTATTTTAAAAAATGCAGCCTATATTTAACCAGCTAATTGCAGAGTTTTTAATTTGATCTCCTTGGTGATGGTCTGTCTGTCTCTGATGAATTACTTGAAATTACATTTTAAACATAAACATGTGGGGAATTAATTAGCTTTCAAATGTAGAAATTGTCATCATTTCAGTTTCTGCTTCTCTGTAGCTCGCTTGCAAATGTTTAGGCACAGCACTGGGGGCAAGTCGTTTCTTTTTTTTTAATCAATAAGCGTTCATAATAAATGATTCACCAAAAACATTATTCACTGCCTCATAGCTAAAGGGTTTAATGGAAAGAAGCACCCCTGTTCCTCCTGTTTGCTATTTAAGCGCTGTGATTTTTCTGAGTGAAAGGAGAACCTCCAATATCTTCTGTTCCCATGCCCCGATAGTGCACCAAACATTTGTCATGTTTCTGTCCTGGAAATTATGTGCCTAATTATGATTTTACTCTAATGTCAATGTGAAAATGGTGTAGAATAATAGTCTCCTTTGTGATTACATCTGAAATATTATTACTAATGATTTCAGGAGCAGCTACCCCAGCAGAGAGAGTTACAGAGCCTCAGCAGAGGGTACTTCAGTGTATTTTGGAAAAAAATCAATTTTAATAGTGTAATCGATACATGATCCAGTCTGTAGTCCTTAAAAAGTCAAGGAGTAAACAAAGACTGATCTTCGCTCTGGCTGCTGTAACAAAAAGCAGCATGGACCTGCCAGGACTAATCCTGCCTTTGATGATGCACATTCTCTTCAATAATTAGATAGAACGGTGTATTGTGCGCTATAGCTGGTAAACAAAGTGCATTGCAAAATCAATAACAGGCAAAGAGAGGCAGTACATTTCTGATGAAATCACTGATTTGTTTGGCTCAGTATGCAGGACACTTACTCAAGGATAT